AGGCAGCTGGATATGATAGAGTATTACTCGAGATGCTAAGGGCTGGAGAGGGAGTGGCGATAGCTGCTGTACACCTTGTTCAATTTATGTTGGGGAATTGAAGCGGGTACCGGAAGACTGGTATAAAGCAGTAATAGTCCCAATATATAAAGGAAAAGGGTCACAGCAAGACTGCAAAAACTACTGTACTGTACTAAGAACTCTATGCTAAGGTGTTCATTGAAAGAGTTATGAAAGAAACTGATGGAAAAATTTGGGATGTGCAAGCGGGATTTAGAAAGGGAATAGGGTGTACAGATCAAGTCTTTTCCATGCGCATGATTGTGGAGAAGTTTTTAGCCAAAAACTAGAAAGTTTTTTGTGAAAGAAAGAAAGAACCATTTATTTGATAATCAAACTTTACACACAATTTTTGAAATTTAAATATAGATTACAATTGACAAAGAATATGCATGCGCACATGTAAGACTGCTTACGCATTAAAATTATTTAATAAGCAGAACTTGCATGATGTTAATTAATAATGAAACAAAAAAAAATAAAAAGAATTTAAAGATAAAATGTGACATCAAATAGGTCTACAACTCAGCATAATGCTGCAGAGGCAGCGCTGGTTTTCAGTTGGAACCTTGTGACTTCACTGACGAGTCGGTGAGTGAACCTCGAATTACACGTAACTACAACTTATAGACTAATAGTAATTGGGCAGTGGGTTAAAGAGTAGTGTAAACGAACACAGTTACTACAGACATACTGTATTAATATCAATATAAATGGTCTGTAGTACATACACTATACTTACATATAACATATTTGGTTCTATGGGAAAGACAAAGCAAAGTAGCAATAAAATTTATGATTTTAGTACATACATAATTTATATTCTGTACTCAAAGGGACACGCCATGTTACGAGACCTAGATTTTTTTTAGAAAATAAAAAGTAAGATTAAAAATAAATAAATAATAAATGATCATTCATCACATATGTAACAGAAATAAACAATAATCAATAATATTTGAACATGGTATAAAACAGTATAAATATTATTACTATTTTGCGTTCTAAATGTAATTGTATTACGTATTTAGAACTTGTTGTGCTAAGTAATAGAACTTTAGTTTGTTTTTAAAACTATTCAGTGATTTTAGGGAACGAATAGGTGGTGGTAGATCATTCCAACAGTGGGTTGCTGCAAATTTGAAACTACCTCGAAACGCAGCTGTGCGGTATCGAGTTATTACAAGAGAATGAACAGAACCTCTTGTATTACATTTATTTTGATCTCGGGCCCACTTCAGCTTTTGAAACAGGTATACTGGTCGCTGTTTTTTATTGTTGAGAATAGTAATAGTAAATAGTAAACAAAACCGAGTACACGCATTTTGCACCCGCTCTATGAGCTTCTCTGACCTTCTCAACAGTCGTGGTCCATAGGCTGCATCTGCATAATTTAACTTAATGTATTAATGACTCACACAATCCTATCCGCATATCTTCACTGAGGTATTGCCGAACTTTATACAATAACAAAAAATAAAAGCAACTGCGCACTCCCTCAAGTACATGACTTTCAAATCGCAAACTAGAATCAAATAATATACCTAAATTTCTTGCCTCAGAGACTTGCTGTATAGGTTCGTTATCAATTAGAACTAAGGGCTGAAGCATTGATAAATTTTTAATATTTTATTTGTTCCTAGAATTAAAAATTTAGATTTTTGTGGATTTAGCACAAGAGAATTTTGCTTGGACCATAACGAGATACGTTTGAGATCTTCATTCAATAATTTGACATCAGTTTCATAACCTTGAGGGAAAAAAGATTTATATATTTGCAAGTCATCTGCATATAAGTGATACTCACAATTTTTGATACAGCTAGTGATGTCTGAACTATATAAAATAAATAAAATAGGACCCAGGATAGATCCCTGTGGGACACCGCGAGAAACTAAGTACGGTTCAGACATAAGTATTGTGTCATCATGTTTTGTTATACTAACATATTGCAATCTACCTGTTAAGTAACTATGAAACCATTGAACTGTGCAAGCATCAAATCCATAGAAAGATAACTTAGACAGAAGAAGAGTACAATTTATGGAGTCAAAAGCTCGTGAGAAATCTAAAAGAGTAAGTATTGTCCCCATTCCCTTATCCTGAGCTGTTAGTATATTATCAACAACATCAATAATCGCTGTTGTGGTGCTATGGTGTTTACGAAAACCTGACTGTGCTAAAGGTAAGATTTTGTGTACCTCTACGTATTCGGTTAACTGAACGCAGATCACATTTTCTAATACCTTAGATAAACAAGGCAAGATGCTTATGGGGCGTTGATCTTTTAAACAGGTTGCCTGTTTTTTCTTAGGGATAGGCTTTACCACAGCTATTTTCCATTGATCAGGGAATGTAGAGGTAATAGATTTATTCACAATAGCTGTGATAACTTTTAATGTATGTGGCAGTGTCATAAGTAACATATCAAGTGTTATCTGATCCACACCTTGGGCGTTAGATTTCAAACTCTGAATTATTTTAGCTATTTGGTCCTCCTCCTCCTCCCCATCCTCATTTGTTATATTTAAATGGAAAATACCTGGCCCATATTTGTTAAACTCATAGAAAGTAAGTTTTGAACGGTCTATATTATCATCACCACGAATATGTTTATTTATTATATCAGGATCATTACAATGATCTGGCCAATTTGCATCAGCCTGTTCCTTAATAATAATATTACCTTTTATACTTTTCCATAGAACTTTAGGGTTATTTAAGTTTTTATTAATATACGTTTCAAAATATGCTCTCTTTTCAAAATGAATAGCATTAGTCACAAAGTTTTTTAGATCTTTATAGGAATTATAATATTTATCTAGTTTCTTATACCGCATGAAATAGTGGTTTCGATGCCTCATCGTGATTTTAACTGTATCAGTAATCCATAGGTGAGTTTGTTTTTTTAATCGCACTAATTTATTTGGGGCATGAAGGTCAAAAATCGTTATTATATATGAATTTAATTTTTCTACCATATCTTTAACAATGTTCAGATATAAAATACTATCCCAATCAATACTGTTTAAATATTCATTAAAATAGTCTATCAAAATCTGCTAAAGTGGACGAATGTAAGCCTTACGTGTAATAAACTTATCTTTTTCTATTAGAAATTGAACGGATATCACTGCGTGTTGCCGTAATTGTGGTATATGTGAAACTGTTGTGTTAGAAACACTAATGTCAGAACATACCAAATCAATGAGTGTTTCACTGTGATCTGTATAATGTGTAGGCTCAGATATAACTTGGGATAGATGAGTATAATTGAGAAAACTTAGAAGAAGTTTCGTTTTGGGGTCATTTTTTTTTAGCAAATTTATATTGAAATCACCTACAAGAATCATTTTCTCATTTTATCTTGTAAATGAAACAATAGATGAAGTGAGAGCATCTAGAAAAATATTTACATCGAGCCAAGGCGGACGATAAGCTGTGCCAATCATAATTTTCTGTGTGTTTATCGTGAAAGAGAGCCATATTTGCTCAACATCGGTGGAAGGAGGATGCGGGCAAGTACGCACTGCGATTCCCGAGCGTATGTAAAAGCCAACGCCACCTCCGCGACCGCCGCGCACGGCAGCCGGCCGCGGCTCGTGCCGCAGCCGGTATCCGGGCACAACGGGCGCGCGGCCCTCCTCACCCGTCCTCAACCATGTTTCATTTATTGCCATTATGTCAACCTGGGAATCCTCTAAAGCAGCTATAAATTCGTCATGGCGTGTACCCAGTGACCCAGCATTAAACAAACCAATTTTGAGTAATTTGTTTTTGATGAGTTATATTATATAAATAATTTTTAATTTCTTATTTCTGTATTTTCCCCATAGATTTAAATCATAATATATAAATGGACGATAAAAAATGTAAAATAATATAATATATTAATAACATAAAATATTAGGTATGTTATTAATATATTATACTCCTAAACATCTCTTAAAATATTAAGAGATGTTTAGGAGTGCAAATTTCACTAATAATAATTGGTAACTTGTATGAATACATATTAGTCTGCCGTAGCAGTATAAATATTTCGCGACTATGAATATTTTTAACACTATTTAATTTATTTTTTACAAAATTAACAAACGAAAATTTTTTAGCTTATGCATAATATAATATATAAAAACTAATTTACCTACTGATCAATGATAAAATAAAATATAAATTCTATAGTGAACACAAGTGTCATAACAAATCAAAAGGTTTACACACCGTTTAAAAGTTACGTACAGAAGAACAATAATAACAAAGTATAAATCTTACAACAAGAGGTACATTCATGATTTTTTATATGCATGTGTGTACAAATATAAATAATATAAAAAAGAGTAATGTTATAAAATTAATTTGAAAGTGGCCTAACTGCATCGTTACCAAAAACACAGATCAGATCTGCCTCAGATCGAATTCAATACGCATTCTTCCCATCTCCCTGGCGAGCATAGATTCTACCATATCTGGTCCATGTATATCTCCACCGTAGCTGCCTTTTTGCCTCTCGTACTCGGTAAAATAGTTGGCGATTACCTCTTGAGAGACGCTCATTAATATAGAAGCGACAAGGTGGACCTGGCAGACCAAGGTCAGCGGTGGTAGCATTCCTCCGCACGCGTGCGCTTCGCAATAACTCGTCGCGCAGCTGGCGGCGCGCTAGACGCACCACCACTCGACGCCCCCTGCCCCGACCTTCATCCGCATCGTCACCCTGCTTCCTTGCTCCTACACGATCCGAGAAAACAATGTCCCTCTCGTCCAGCGATACTCCCAGCTTTGCAATCACCAACACGACCGTATGAGTGATGTTTTCTGTCCTCTCTTCCGGAATATTTGTGATTTCAAGGTCGGCTGCAAGCAACTCCTGCTCCCTATCATTAAGCTCACGCGTAAGTCGGGACACGGTTTGTTCGAGCTCATTTATTTCAACTGACTTGTTACTGTTGCTTTGAGTCTTCTGTTCTAGAATACTAATCCTGCTCTCCATTTGATCTATTCTCTTATTACTCATCACTAAAGATTCCCGTAGTTCAACCATATCCCTCCGAAAGTCTTTTAGCTCCTCCCTGACCCTAAATAATTCCTCCCTGAAAAGTCGAATTTCTGGAATCAGTTCCCGATGAAAAGACTCAGGGGAGCTAGTTGCAGTTTTTTCTGAGTCACTGCTTGTTCCGGAGATTGCAGGATTTAAAATTTCACTCTCGGCTACCATGGCCCTAACTGGAGTAGAAGAGTTGTTTCCCTTTGGCACAGTCTTTTTACACTCTGGACATTGCCAGCGTTCATGGATCTTAGAGCGGTCAGAGACTCCAACACAAGCTCGATGATATAGTACTGGACATTGTCCGCATTTAACGGCCTCTGCCGTAGAAAGGAATTTACAAGCTCCACATTTAACCATATTTAAGAAGTACAGTTCAAGCTGTTTATGTATCTTATATACTCCACTCACCCACTAATGGCACTGGTATATAATATTGGTATGTATCGTATATGATATGTATTGAATATGATGTGTGCAGCAAAAAATATGTAGGTAAGTCAAATAATTAAGTTGTACGAGTGAACGTAACTAGCAAATAACAAACAAAACCAATTGTGTTCATTCATTTGTTTTTATGTTCACTAGTTTATTAACTGCACCAAGTTACTGCAAAACACTCACTGGTATGTAGTGTTATGTTAACTATCAAATAAATAAACTTTAAGCTTAAAATACTGCGTTAGCAATTTTATTGACTAAATTATAGGCAACAGCTGATCACTACTGTGCGTTCATGGACTTGGGAAGGCTTATGCCCGAATGGACAGGACTGTGTTATGGCAAACATTGAACTCATTTGGGTTGAGCGCTGGTGTAATACAGGCATTAAGGTCTCTTTATAGGGACTCCAGTGCTTGTGTCAGGATCAACGGGGTCTACTCGGACTGGTTTGGCATCCAAAAAGGTGTCAAACAGGGCTGTGTAGCTTCCCGTTGCTGTTCAACCTATTTAAGGACAGTTGTTTGCAAACTTTGAAACATGAAGAATGTGGGTTAAGAATGGGCGAGCTAATCGTCAAATGCCTTTTGTACGGCGATGATCTAGTCATATTAGCGTTGTCGACGGCTGAGTTGCGAATGATGGTTACATTAATGAACTGGGCATTAAAAGAAAGGGGAATGAAAGCGAACTTAAGTAAAGCGAAGGTGATCGTTTTTCAAAGTGAAGAAAGTAAAACGTTATGCGAAATAAGAATAGAAGGGGAGTTGATTGAGCAAGTGGATGAGTTCGTGTATTTGGGATGTGTATTTAGCAGGGATGGTAGATATGATAAGGATATAGAACAAGGAGTGAAAGCAGGAAATAGCGTGAATGGGGCTCTACAATCTATTATGAAGAATCATAATGTGTCAAAAAAGGCACCTATGGTAATTCATAATGCCGTGTTAATCTCTACTTTAATGTATGGTAGTGAAAGTTGGGTGTGGCAGAAGAAGCACGAAAGTTGATGCTGTTGTGATACTTCTATCACAACAGCATCTACTTTCACATTCACTTTCGACATGGTATTTATATATTTGACATGGTACCAATTATGATTGCCGATTGTATCAAGTATTTCAACAACCCTGTTTCTCACGTAAGTGCTCCATCTTGCAGGATCACCAAACAACCACGAGAGTACAATGGTTGAGTCAGTCCAAGCAAATATCTGACAGGCAGGTACGTTCGTTGATTCCTTTATCTGTTTTAAAAGACCAGCAAGCAGTACAGCGCCACTTAGTTCCAGACGAGGTAGGGATTGTGGTTTTGTAGGTGCAACCTTGCTTTTAGCAGCGATGATTGATGTCTTCACTTCACCGCTTTCTGTTCTTACTCTTAGGTAGGCTACTGCAGCGTAAGCTCGAGATGATTCATCACAGAATCCGTGGATAGTAACATTGTTTAGTGTGGCTTCAGTAGTATTAAGCCATCTGTTTACTACGATATCAGGTAGGTACATATGAAACGAATCTCGTATATTGTTCCATTCTGCAGCAATCGTTTCGTCCACCTCTTCATTCCATCCTACTCTTTGCAACCATAATCTTTGGATTAGAAGTTTGGCAGGTAAGACAGAAGGTGCCAACCAGCCCAGTGGATCAAATAATCTTTGTAGGTTACCCAGAATTGTTCTCTTTGTAATTATATTTACCGTAGCAGGTAGATTTAAGCTGTATTGAAATAGATCTTTGCCCATGTTCCAGTGTAGTCCTAACGTTCGTGTAATCCCGTCTAATGTTATGTCCAGTTTTACATGAGAACTTCTTTCTGACTCTTCAAATTCCTTTAGGAAGTCTGCATCATTAGAGCACCATTTTTTTAATTTGAAGCCTCCCTTCCGAAGTATGCTGTCTACGTCTTTGGCTAGTCTGATAGCATCGGCGAGGTTGTCTTTCCCAGACATCATATCATCCATGAAGTAATCCCTCTTTATTATTTCTGCTGCTTCGGGATGGTTTTGGCCTTCGTCATGAGCTACTTGGTGTAAGGTCCTTACTGCCAAGTAAGGAGCAGAAGCAGTTCCGAACGTGACTCTGGTAAGTCGGTAGTCCTTGACAGGATCTTGATCATCATATCTCCAGAGTACTCGTTGCAGATTCCTGTCTTCTTTCGTGACCATGATTTGGAGATACATTTTTTGTATATCCGTTACAAAGCAGATTCTTTTCATCCGCCATCTCATTATAAGACTTCTCATGTCTCCTTGTAGCTGTGGTCCCACTAATAGCTCGTCGTTGAGTGAGATGTTGTTGGTTCCTCTTTGTGATGCATCAAATACTGTTATAATTTTTGTAGTTTCCTTTTCTTCCTTAACAACAGCATGATGTGGTAAGTAAACCGATGGATTGCTCATTTCGTATCTAGGTACCTCTTCCATGTAATTTGATTCGTAGTCTTTCATAACCATAGCATAATCGTTTTTTAGTCTTGGGTTTTTCTTGAATCTTTGTTCTAATTGATAAAGCTCTCTGCAGAGCTATCGTTCGCGTGTTTCCTTGGGTTGATAATAACATTTTAGGTTTCTTAATCATTATTTCTTATGGTTGTGGTTTCGTAGATTTCCTCGCACCTTCGCTCATCTGCTCTAGGTATTACTTTATCGTATGCATCTTGTTCCCACATTCATTTAAGCATATCGTTTAGGTCAAGATTATGATGCATAACAATCAATTTATTGACGGGTTTGTCTTCCACGCTCCCAAACAGAATCCAACCATGGGTCGTATTTTGAGCACAAGGTGTTCCTGGGGGTCCCTTGATAACTTCGTTTTTCATTATTTGAGCACACACGTCAACTCCTAGTAATAGGTCTACTCGTCCTGGTTGATTATAGCTTGGGTCAGCCAAAACAAGTCCTTGCAAGTGTGGCCAATTGCTTGTAGAGATAGTTTGAGTCGGCAGTTGGGTAGTCAGTTGCGTTGACATTATGTACGTTTTGATTCTTATGTTGAAGCTTGGGTCGTGCCATGAGAGAAGTTCAATTTCTGCAGCATATTTAACGCTTGTTTTAGTAGAGCCACCGCCAGTGACAGTGCCATTGATAGGCGTTCTCGATAATCGTAACATCTGGGCTGCTTTTTCACTCATAAACGTAGCCTGGGAGCCGAGGTCTATCAATGCGCATAACACTGTCACTTGTTTTGAATCGTAACCTCTTACTGGTATGAGTGCTGTGGTCAGCAATGCAGTGGACACCTTAGAAGCGACATGTAATGAAAGTTTGACATTGGATTCGGCTGATTGTGCAGAAGATTGATGATCTTCAACATCGTTATGTTTGTCTTGATTCTTGTAATTGTCTGGCTGGCTTGATGACGTCATAGGCGTGAAATGGCGCGTGAGCGTGTGATGACGTTTGTGACATGTTCTACAGGACATCTTCAGGCGACATCGTCATGCGGAGTGACCAGGGGCCAGACAAAGCACAGATTATGTTTCTTTATGTAATCACATCTCTCTGTTGGGCTTAGCTTGATGAATTGTTCACAGTGACACAATGTGTGATTTTCGTTGCACATAGCACCAACTCTTAGTTTCGTAGAAGTCGCAGTATTATTAGAACTCGTAGATAAGTGAACAGCGTATTCCTTTACTCTACGTGTTGGTCTTTCTCTGGTTGGCGGCGTGACAAGCTCAAGAGTGCGGAATTTTAACTGTAAAAATTTATTGAGTGCGTCACATGTAGGTAAGTTTTTAGCATTATCCTTGTAAGCATCTTCTTCCAAATCACGGTGCGTCTCTGGGTCCAATTTTTGTACAACCAAAAATATAATGAGTGGATCCCAGGAGCTTGTTGAAAGCCCAAGGTTTTTTAATGCATTCAGGCATTCTGTTGTAGTATCCAAAATAGATTTGAGGTTACTTGCCGTTTGTACACTAATTTTTCTTTGCGTAAACAATCTTTTTAATATTGAATTAATGATAATCCGCTTGTTGCTAAAACGCTCTTTAAGCATGTTCCACGACATTTCATAGTTAGCATCGATGACTTGAACGTGTTTCAAAAGTGACAGGGCTTCTCCCGTAAGACTTCCTTTCAAATAATGCGACCTTTGTACGTTACTTAATGATGTGATGATGTGTTATGCACTAATGATGTAAACAAATCTTGATAAGCAGGCCACATTTTTCTATGTTCATGTATTTAACCTACATGTGTGCATAAAATGTAAGAGTGTTGGAGATTTAGATTTGTGTTTGCTATAATGACACGAAGTTTTATTGAGTAGGTGTGCAGTACTGTCTATGTAGTGCTTCCTCTCCCGCACCAAAAGTGACAGACTTTTTTGTTCGTAGCTTTAGGCACATTACTCGTCCATTGCATTGAATGGTGTAAGAGTAAGCACAAACACCCGCTCTGCACGATGGTCATTGCTATTGGACACAACATTGGAAACTATGTTGACCAACGTGTAGAACCGCCGGCACTCAAAATATACCGTAAAGTACTCTCCAAGGAGGTTAGAGAAGAGGAGAACGATCGCTACGTGCTAAAGCATAGCCCGCCCGTCCCCGAAAATTTGTAGAATTTATAGCCGCGCTGCCGTCGGTAAGTAGTATCTGCAAAGTAATTTTTTTAATTTTTGACAAAAAGAAACATTAAAACATGGTGAAATATTATAAATAAAATAATAATAATAATAAATCAATTATACAATTAATTAGCTAAACATCACTTGTGAATTTAGCAATTCCATTGGAATGGAGCTGGGGACGGATAAGTGTGCGGTCCTCCATGTTGAAAGGGGAAGGGTTGCTAACTCTGAGGGCATAGACTTATCTATGCCCGTCTACTTAAGGACCCTTTCCGAGGCTGAAACATACCTGGGTATGTCACAAAACAGTATCGATGAGGCAGGTATGAAACAGTCATT